TACCCATCGTACTCACACAAGTGAGGCACCCACTTTTTGGGACTTCACCGCCTTTCTTCAGGACTGCTATGTCGCTCAGCACGATGTGATCGATGCCCTAGATAGGGTCACCCAGACCCGATGGCCTCGGTCCTCCGCACCGACAGACGTGGAGCATCACATCCGGGTGTTTCAGGACGCCCGCCACGTTTGTGATGGGAAGCTCCTACTGTAGGGCCTTCTGACCAACATGTTTCTCATTGGTCTCTCGCCTGATTACCGCATAAAGCTTTGGAGACAAACATTTGCGTGGATGGATCAGGCCTGTGACTGCTCAATAGTACCATAGGATGCATAGTCATTTCTCTGATGGCCCATCCTCTTCGCGACCCACCTTCACCACCCATTGAGGTCATTCCTCTTTTGCTGGTCGCTTTCACCACCCACCTCAGCATGGAGCGTCATTCTCTCCACGCTACAACTCTCTCGAGTACGGCGACGATGCCTAAGCCGAGCTTGACCCTATCATTGGGGATGTCATATAGTACCACCTCGATGACAAGACTTTCCTGATGGTCGACTGCTTGCAGATGGCTGTGTCCGCCATCTGTATGTCTTTTTAACGGGGAAAGGGGGAATTAAACTCCCGTCGACTCCTGTGCAATTTGAAGAAATCTCGTTGAATTCCTGTTAAACGTGAAAATGGGCCACTCCCGCACTTTTCCGAAAACGGGATTGATGCGCGGGGTCCGGAACACGTGGCCCTAGGCAAAAAAAAAAAAAAAAAAAAAAAAAAAAAAAATTAAAAAAAAAAAAAAACATCCCCCCACCCCCAAAAACACCCCTTATCCCACCGAATTACCCCACCCCCCACCGCCCCCCCCCCCGCCACTCACCAACCCCCCGGCACAAGTCCCCAAACCTACCTGAAAGACCTCTAAGCCAACTGCCCCCACATCCCCCAACCCCCAACGCCCCAATAATGCGTGTGCAGGGGCGAGGTCCCATTAGCAGTCGGATAGGAGTGTGGCCGATCCAGTGTGACATTGAGTGGCAACGACTTGACAGGTTCATTACGCATTTCTGGGCTGAGAAAACGGAAGAAAGGCAAAAAAAAAAAAAAAAACAGAAACCTCCCACCGAAAATCGCGGCAGAGTGCTTCCCGACCATCAGATCACAAATGATCTGATGGTGGTGGTTGCAACAACAGTGAACAAAGTAACCGCCACATTTTCTGGAATAAACTTGACTTCTGTCAGCACTGATCCTGACACCCTCCATATACTCCGTGTTTGAAGGAGGGCTCCACCCAATGAGATAATTGCACAACAGCAAGTAAAACATTGAAGATCTTCTATCCTGCGTAGCACGGCGAACTTGTTCGCGGCCCTTTTTGTTCGGGTGAACGCGTTCTCCCGTTCGCGCGAACGGGTCGAGAACACGTTCGCGAGAACGTGTTTTCAACGCCCGCGAACGGGGTTCGCCTGGGCCACTACCGGTCGTCGGCGGGGCTTTGGAGGGGCCTGGGGAGCGCCGGGGTGTGTGTGTGTGTGTGTGTGTGTGTGTGCATGTGTGTGTGTGTGTGTCTGTCTGTGTGTCTGTGTGTGTGTCTGTCTGTGTATGTATGTATGTGTGTGTCTATCTGTGTATGTGTGTATGTGTGTGTATGTGTGTGTCTGTGTGTCAGTGTGTAAGTGTGTTAGTGTGTCTGTGTGTCAGTGTGTTAGTGTGTCTGTGTGTCAGTGTGTAAGTGTGTCAGTGTGTCAGTGCGTCGGTATGTCAGTGTATCTGTCTGTAAGTGTGTCTGTGTAAGTGTGTTTGTGTGTCAGACTGTTTCGTCGGACTTTGCATCAGACTGTGCCAGATTGTTTCACACACACTCTAATACACAGACACACACACACACACACACACACACACACACACACACACACACACACACACATATACAGACAGACACACAGACACACACACATGATACACAGACACACACACACACACTCTGGTACACAGACACACACACACCCAAACACACGACTCTTAGAGCAGCGAGGGGGGTTCAGGGTCACAGGCCTATACCCCCATCCCCTAAAAAAAAAAAAAAAAAAAAAAAAAAAAAAAAAAAAAAGGTTCAGGCGAACGTGTTCGCATTCGCCCGCGAACGTGAACAGCGTGCAACGGAGCTTCTATCCAGTGGGCCTAAGGCCGACCCCACACTCGTTTGGGACCGATTGAAACGATTCTGGCGGGAAACTTTCTTTGCACAGGCATGTCAGTGTTAAGGAGAGGAGGAGGGGAACGGAAATCTCCTTACTTTTTCGGGTAATACAAGTAAAACACTTACCGTGGGATCACGAGTACTGCACGACAGGATTTGGGTCACTCGACTGCCCCACAAACTCGTTTCTATCATATCTCGTTGCTAGTGCGACCTCGCCCCCGGTGTATTGTGTGTGTGCGCATGTGTGTATCTGTGTCCCCACGTGTAAGAGGGTGTCTGTGCATGAATATGTATGTATGCACATGTGTTTGTGTATGTGTGTGTGTGTGTGTGTGTGTGTGTGTGTGCGCTCATGATTGTTGGTGTGTGTGTGTGTGTGTGGGTGCATGTGTGTGTATGTTTGTGTATTTTGTGTGTCTCTATGTGTACGTGGGTGTCTGTTTTTCCTTTTTTTATTTGCTTTTATGTTGTTGTTTTTTTGAACACATGAAGTTAAAAAAAAAACAAAAAAATGTTGTTGTACATCTTTGAAATATATATAACCCTATATTTTTCGCTTGTTTTTCTGTTGTTTTTTTTTAACCCTAAAAATATCTTTGTGTGCAAGGAAAATAAGCAACAACGAGATGACAATCCCAAATCACACCATCACATTGCAAGCCAAATAGTTAAACCATGTCCAGATAGCAGCATTGCACCAATAATACACCAATGGAGTTCCGTAGCACTGAAAACCAATGTCTGTGGAGAGCACACCCTCTCCTCTCAACAAAAGAGTCCAGTTCCCTTACACTCACACTTGGCGCTCAACGCCCAGCCTACTCCTACACAGCTACTACAGACTACAAAAAGACAATGCAACTGTTGACATCAGCAGCAGCCCGAAGTACTTGAAGATGCCGACCATGCAGACCATCGCCAATACAAGGTACATGCCCTCACATCATCATCATCATCATCATCCTTCACCTATCCCCTGACTTCACCCACACCTGTCCTCTCTGTCACCCGAAGACCACCCCTGCGCTTCACTGTAGTCCAAGCCCACCAGCTATGGTGGCTGGGCTACGGCGCTGCCCTCAGCAGCGCCCTCCTCCTCTGCACGACCGCACGAGCTGCACCTCGCCTCCCAGCGCTAGCAGCAGCCTACGAGCATTAGCTCCAGCAGCGCTACCGCCCAGCATGCGAGTGCCTGAATGAGGCAGCCAGGGCCGAGCTCTTTCCTTTATGGAAAGAGTTGGCCTGCTCACGCAGCCTGGCTGCCTTGGCCTGGGCCCAGAAGCTTCCGGAAGGCCCCAGGAGGCTGCCTGGATGYAGCAGCTACTGGGCTGCTGGGCCTCGTTCGGTTGGGCGCCCAACTGTCTCTATATGAGGCTGCGAATCACGGCCAGGGCCTGCATTCTTTGGAAAGGCCCGGTAGGCCGTGGAAATGTCTTTGTTGCTCGGCCTGTGTTTCTTTCAACCAACTCGCGCGTCGCAACTGCCCGAACCCCAAATACGAAATTGACAGTCGAAGGCCTTTTGCAAAAAGCCAGGCCCGCCTTCACTTAGGGCGGGCACCTCCGCCTTCACTTAGGGCGGGTAAGGCTGCAGACAGGGCCCCATAGGCCTACTGAGGACCCTCATCCTCGCATGTGTAACAAAAAAACAAACAAACTAATTTCATCTGTTTTTTTTTTTTTTTTTTGTCT